AGATGGAACATTGTGGGTGTGGTGTATGAATGTTAACACTTTGTAATAATTCTTTAGTATATTACTTGTGTGGTGTAGAAGATAATTATTTAAGAATGCAATTATGTAAGAATGTTAACACTCTGTTATAATTCTTTAGTATATTACTTGTGTGGTGTAGAAGATAATTATTTATGTAGAGATACTGCTTGCAAACCAATGATGGTAAGATGATGTCATGGGGTAGGACTAGATAAGTCTGACTTCTTCCTACTCCATTCAAGCATGTACTAGGTATAAGTAAATTGATATTGGATTAGCATTTGTTGGATATGTGTAAAATTATGTGTGTTGACATACCTGTCTTTACATGCTTGAACGAATAAATCAAATCAAATCAAATCAATGTGGTGGGCCAACTAACCAAACCAACTAAATGTTGCCACCCTAGGGTTGTGCTGCTAACAAGATTAAAAATAGACTTAACCAGGTTTTCAAGAGTCCTAATATAGGAATGAGAAAGGAAAACATTACAAACTCAGAAGGGAAAAGCATACGTCATTAGATGCATAACTCAGAGGCTCTCCAGACGGCTGCCATTACCCATGAGTCATCACTCTGTCTCATGTTACTGTATCTAACCTTGATAGCCATCTACCACTCTCATAATGGGGTCTGTGACATGATGTCTGATATAGTCTCTTACTCTCAAATGCTACATCCCCACTCCAACTTTTATTTATTTTATGCTTCTGTGCTGGCGACAGCTGCGACTGGAGGCATCAAGTTTTCGGGTTGTCCATCCTGTTCTTGTGAATGCAGTATCTCCGAAACACCTTGTATCCTGACCTCTGTCACATTCCCATGAATTTGACTGGTTGGCGGAGGCATACAATTGCAAAGTGGTAGTTCTAATTATCTGGGTCTCAATATTCCCCGTAGCCACAGCACGTTACCTCTAAATCCAGCCCTCACTTACTCTACAGACTCTTCCAGTTCTGTTTAAAATGAAGTTGGGAATACTGCCAAGAAACTGAGATATCAATCAGTGTGTGGTACAGAAAAACTCTTAGGCCTAAGTTTTACAAACATTACCTTCTGGATAAATGCAGTTTCACAGGTTGTGCTTTTGCGCTTTCAGTTTTAAAGAACTTTGCTTCTTTTTCTCTTGCTTATCATTTCTCCTCTTGTTACCCTGCTATTTTCATACTCATCTCCACACTCACTCATCTGTCTTCTCTCTTCAGTGAGATCCCCGCAGTTTCTCTGTGCCCTCCTGACAGCCTGTGCTCTGTCGAGGCCCAGCTGACAGTCATCCAGTCTGAGGGGGAGCTGTGTGACAGCTGCAGCAGTCTTGGCAGACCCTCTTCATCCTGCCAGCTTTATCACCAAGTACGTCTGAACACTGACTCTACCGTGTGCTGTTTAGGATATACTGTTTATATAGCAACCCATTATTATAGAGCCAAAAAAGTTTAGAAGGGAGGCACTGACAAATATATAAGATGCATATTCTATCTGCTTTTCTCCTTTAGGTCCCTCAGGGTCCTCGAACCAGGGCCTACAATTTGTCACAACTCCAAAAATGTCCCCAATGCAGCCATCATGGGCAAGTCAAACCAAACACCTACCACAACTGCCACTCAAACACCACAGGTCCTCATGGTGAAGGAGATGTAGTGATGAAAACCAGACACAGCTGTGATTCTGCTCAACAGAAATCCCATCATGGAGTGGTGAGATGCCACTGGCTGCACGGGTCAAATGAAAGTGCGACACAGAAACCAACACAGCGACATGTGGTGTCAGTAAGGTGTGTTTAACAGTTTGGGATTTTTGGAAATATGCTTATTCGCTGTCTGGGAAAGTGTAAGGTTAGATGACTACCAGTCTCACATGCAACAGCTGAATTCAGAGCTATCACAAGCAACCATTTAGCTTAGCTTGAAGAGTGGAAGCAGGGGGAAACTGCTAGCTAGCCTCACTCTCTCCAAAGATCAGGTCTGTCTGCCAATACATCACAAATTAACACATTACACCGCATCTCATTTGCTTACCCACGAATTTAATGGGGTGTTAAGTGCCAGACTGTTTCTTGGCTATTTCCCTCAAAAATGGCAAATTCTCATTTATATTTTGATCTTTGTAGATACAAAAACAAGACATTAATTAGTGAGCTTAGGAGACGCTGGTAGCCAGATTAAAAAACAAAACAAAACAAAAACCTTTGCACAGACTCAGGCTGTTTTCCCCAAAAGTGAAAGAGCAAATTTCCCTTAATATTGAATTTTTCTTTTAATGAACTCTTCAATTTGAGTCCATATATAATAAAGTTTTCAAATATTAACAGGAATGGAGGACTGTACTATATCCTTAGAAAGTAAGTACAAGCCCAACAGTACTGCATGTCACACTATCTGTTCATAATAATTCATGTTTACTTAGCCTCATTGACAGCTTATTCTTGTGTCATTTTCTATTTAACAGCTATTCTCAGGTGATAGTGGAATACCCGTTAGCAGTGCTGGTGGGTTGCGCTGTGTTGCTACTGGGATGCTCATTGGCTGGACTCTTCATTGGTCCACTGCCAGACTTCTCTGATCCTCTGCTGGTGAGGCTCTCTCTCGCTCTCTCTCTCTTTCTCACACACAAGCACAGGCACACATTTGATTTCATTTGTCGTGCAGACTTTACACTGAATTACATTCATCTCCCGGCGACTTATCCCAACCATAATCATGATCACTATTTGCCTAACCTTAGTCATCACTCTAAAATGTAATAACTCACACAGTCCACACGACGAAGGCTGAGCCTCAGGGTGAGTGTGCAAACACTTTTTGGTCCCCACAATGGGAGTAACACCAGACACGTGCATGCACACTCTCTAAAACTGAAGTCTCCTGTGGTGGAGCACATGCTGTCACCCTTCTGTCAGAACTACAACACAAACCCTCCTCACCACCTTAGGCGATGGTGTTAATTACTGTTTCCCTAATGACTCATAGTCGTAGCCAAATCCATCTATTTCAGCTTAATCTCAGATTCAATGAACTGTGCCAAATTAGATCTTACTCGCTGTCATCTTAATACATTTTCTCACCTTTAAAATGCACACTTATAGGATAAACACTGCTTAAGAAACTGCTCTGAAAATCACAACAATGCATTATTAATGAGCAACTTAAAAAAAAAGATTTACATTAAAACAGAACATAATCTGAGCCATACAATGGTTTCTGCTTTGTAAGTGTTTTTTTTTTAAAGGTAGCTCTGACAACATTATGGGGTGCTTATGATGCTGATTAATTCAGTAAGCTGCTACAGTGCTTTACAATCCCAGCTTTGATGTCTGTTTCTGTGTGTGTGCTCTTACTTCAGGGCTTTAAGCCACGAGGAACGTACATCAGTGTTCGCGAGTGCAGCTTGTCAGAGCTGCAGAAGAACACTGGCCCGGGGAAAGCTCTGTCTCCTTTACCACAGCAGCTTAGTAAAAGGTCAGTGGAGACTTTGAGCAGAGTTTCTGCATGAGGGAACAGCACCAGTGACCCATGTTCACAGATGCTTTACAAAGGGAAACAAGCTCAACACATAATAAAACCAGGGTATGTTTGTCAGTGGTGGATAAAGCACTCTGATTCTTTACTTAAGTATCAATACTACAGTGTAAAAATAATCTGCTACAAGTAAAAGTCCTGCATTCAATACATTGCTTAAGTAAAATTACAAGGTATTCTCATCAAAATAGACTTGAAGTACCATCTATCTGTATATTGGGTTGCTGTAGATTGGGTAGATGCTATTTTGCATCTAATAATTATGATTAGGAGTATTTTACTGCTGGGTATCTTGAGAATTTTCCACCCAGGATCAAAGTCTTATGATTGCACTATATTTAGTTTTATTAATCTGATTCTGAAATGTAACTAGTAGCTAAATTCATCAAAATAAATGTAGTGGAGTAAAAGCACAATATTTGCCCCTGAAATGTAGTAAAGTTGAAGTATGAAGTAGCAGAAAATGGAAATACTCAAGTATAAATACATCAAAACTGTACTTAATTACAGAACCTCAGTAAATGTACTCCGTTACATTCCATTTCTGGTGTTTGTAATATGCCACAGTTTTAAACTGATATAGTGTTGCTGCTGTAGGTAATACCTATGACATGGTTTAAACTTATACTTGTTTGGAACAAAAATGATGTATTTAAGGAAGTTGAAAGAATGTTTGTTTGTGTGCCCTCTATCTGTGCTGCCATTAGGAATGATGCCAGTGGAGACAGCAGCGGTAGCCAAGACACCTCCAGGCTTCGCACCAAGAGGATGCTGGCCAGAGACTCTTCTCCAGACACATTCCTCTGTGACGCTCCAGGTGGGACAGCCCTGATCAGTTCGTCCCTCTCAATAAACTGTTGACTGATTAAGTTCTGCTACACTAATAAAAATATTAACCACACCAAAGTAACAACCAAAATTCTCAGTTGTAGATTTGCTGCACATTTATGAAAGTTATGCACCACTATTGGCTCCAGCACGCTCAGCAGAGCAGACTATGAAAATATTATTAAAACAATGTAAACTTTATGGATGCCTATTCAGCAGTTAAGCAACCTCAACGGTAAATAGTGAGCTGAAGGCAAAACCCTCCAGCTTGTTCAGGGGTAATCAGCCCTTCCAGCAAACTAATGAAAACAGTACAACATAAAAGCAACAGTAACAACCCAATGGTTAAATTCAAAATTAAAATGTGAATGTACTATATACTGTATGTATGTATAATGAGAAATGTGAATAATAGCTTTTAGTGTGGCTTCAAAGACAGCAGCTTGCTGAATGCATTTTCTGGGGCCAGTTATCCCAGATTTTCACCTTTAAGCTCTAATTTGTAACAACATGCTGGCAGATCAAAATTTGCCTCATAAAAACACAAAGCTCCGTAAATGGATTTCTTAGCAATTCACAGCCCTGAGGTTTTCATTATATGAGCATAATTGTTATTCTGAACATACACACAAAGTATTTGTTGTTAGCCCGGCTTTCCCTTCTTGATTTCTTACTCCCAAGACCTAACTCTCTCATTTCTAACCATCCCCACGTACTGGTGATTCACGGCTGGCCATCTCATGTTGAATCCATCTGTGTGTGTCCTTGCAGGCGAGCGTTTGGCCCAGCTGGTGTTTCGATCAGAAAACTCAGCCAGTCTCTGGAGCCTGAAGGCCATTCATGCCATGTGTGAGATGGAGCAATCCAGGGTTAGCTCACATCTACATCTGACCTTTAGCCTCTTGTCTTTGTCACTTTTCAATCTCTGCTTTCCTCTATATTCTGACTGTATGTACACACTCAGATACTCTGCAGGAAATAAAACTATTTTATATAGGCTACCTGACCTAATCTGAAATGATTTTTTTTTTTTTTTTTTTTTTTTTGGGGGTTTTTTTTAAAACCTGTCCAAGTTGGTCTCTGGGGAATTACTTAGCTGTCCTTAGTAATGCCTCCTCCTGCCTCAGCCTCACATCCCACCAGGTACTGTAGCTTTCTTCCCATTTCAAAAAAGATAATAAGCATACTGTATGTGGGACCTGTCACATAATTCCTGGAGTGCAGCTGATCACACTGCAGTGTTTGAACATTTACTTTATCAAAGCCTTCTATGTCATTCTATTTTCTCCGTTTCACACCAGGTTTCAGAGTCTCTGAACCTTCTCCGGACGTGTGCGCCATACTACCATGAAGGACATCTATTGGAAACCTGTGTGGACAGACCCAAACATGGCAGCTGTTCCTCTGTTCCATCTCGCTGCAAACAATCCCGCGTAGTGTTCCAAATCCTGCACTTTCTAGTTGATAAAGACTTCCTTGGCCCTCAGACGGTTGAATACCAAATCCCAACACTGAAATACAGCCTTCTGTTCTTACCGGTTGACAAAGGGGAGCACATGATGGAGATCTACATGAACAGTCTTGAAGGCAGGGACCTGACATACAACAATACCACTATTACTGGCATGGATTTTGGCATCAAGCAGACATTGTTCAAGTATTACCTAGCAAGAGATTCCGTATACCCTGCCCTAGCTGTTGTTTCTCTTCTTTTCACTATGGCTCTGTATGTCCACTCTCTCTTCATAGTAGTGTTATCTGTAATAGCAATCACCAGCTCCCTCCTGACCTCCTATTTCTTCTACAAAGTGGCATTTCACCTGACTTACTTCCCCCTGGTTAACCTTTCTGCAGCTCTTATTCTCTTGGGTAGTTGCTCTAATCAGGTTTTCATCTTTTCTGATTTCTGGAATATGCAGCTATTGCAGAACCCCTCAGCCTCCCTGGAGAAGAGAGTAAATAGAGCTTTGCAGGAAGTTGGCTATTTGATTTTGGCATCGGGGTTGACCTCCAGTGCAGCATTTTTCTCTGGTTATCTCAGCAGCATCACAGCAATCAGATGTTTCTCCGTTTATCTCGGAACTGCCTCTATTATCAGCTCACTCCTGGCGTTAGTGTGGCTGCCGTGCTCGTTCATTCTGCGTGAGCGCCACATACAAGCAACCTCTACGTCTGTAGTAGTGCAGGGATTGAAACCATGCTGCCCCAAAAATACCAGTGGTTTCTGGGAAATTAGTTCACGCAAGAGGTGCCTCTTCACCCTTGGCCAGAAGCTGAGAGAGTTAAAACAGGGTCTCACCGACACATCCAATTTATTATTTCTGAAAATCCTGCCTTGTGGGGTGGTAAAGTTTAGGTATATCTGGGTGTGCTGGTTTGCAGCGCTCGCTGCTGGGGGCATGTACATGTCCTGCATTGACCCAGGCATGAAGCTGCCCACCCTAGACAGCAGGGTCACTCAGCTTTTCCGCTCCAGTCACCCATTTGAGAGATATGACGCAGAATATCGTCATATGTTTATGTTTGAGAGACAGAGGAACGGAGAGGATAAGCCAGTTACAGTAATGCTTGTTTGGGGGATCAAACCAACTGATAACGGGGACCACTTTGACCCTAGAAGCAGTGGCTCTTTGGTTCTTGACCCAGACTTTAATATGAGCCAACCAGATGCTCAGGTTTGGTTAAGGGACCTCTGTGGACATGTCCAAAACCAAAGCTTTTATTCCCCTCTGTCACCTGAGGATAAAGAAGTGATGACAGACAATATCTGTCTTGTGGAGCAGCTGATACACTGGTTATCTGTCCGTCAATGCTCAGAGAGTGATGATGCCCTTTATTTCTGCTGTAATAACATCTCTTTCCCCTACCCTCCCAGCATTTTTGAGAACTGCCTCAGTATGATGCTGGCAGAGAGGTACGCTGATGGCCATCTGGCCCACAGCAGAGGGCTGTACTTCCAACCAGATGGCAGGGTTGCTGCCCTTATGTTGGCATTCAAGACCACATACCGCTACAGCCTCAACTTCAGCAGAACCAGTGTTTTTTACAGAGAGACCTTGTCTTGGTTTAACAGAGAAATATCCAGAGCACCACAAGGGCTAGAAAATGGCTGGTTCATCAGTCAGCTGTCTCTTTTTGATCTACAACAGTCTTTAAGCTCAGAGACTCTGGTAGTAGCTGGCTTCTCAGTAGCTCTCACACTTGTTTTCCTTCTCTTAACCACCTGGAATATCCCATTGAGCACATATGGGACTGTAGCTGTAGGAGGCAGTGTGTTTGTCACAGTCGGCCTCCTGGTTCTTCTAGAATGGCAGCTGGGTGGCACTGAGGCTTTGTTTATATCAATAGCAGCAGGGTTGTCTGTTGACTTTATTGCCAACTACTGCATATCCTACAGTTTGGCTCCTCATTCAGACAAAATTGGGAAAGTAGCCCACTCCACTAAAAAGATGGGGTGTCCGGTAGCAATAGTTTCTGGTGCTTTTTTCTCCATGGGGATCATCATGTTGCCTGCCACAGCCCTGCTCTTCAGAAAACTGGGAATTTTCCTGTTTCTGGTGAAATGTGTAGCATGTGGATTTGCAACATTCTTTTTCCAGTCCCTGTGCTGCTTTTTTGGACCCCAGAAAAACTGTGGAAAGATCACACTGCCGTGTTTTTCAGACCAAAGTGATACTGTGCTGTCCTCTTGTTCAGCAGCAGAACCTGGTTCCTCCTCAGCCTCGGCTGCTAACGGGGCCTATGGCAGATCTAGAGTGAGGAGGAGTTATGACAATGAAGCAGGTGGCTATCTCTACCCAAACCACCGTCATCATGGACAGAAACAGACTGCAGGAGTGGGAGGTGGGGGGCAAGGGCCAGAGCAGTATGAACTGCAGCCACTGGCCTACAGGCTGAGTGACAGCTTTGAAAACAGCACCTGTACCAGTAAATTGTCCAACCGGCCTTCTGTGCTCTCGGATGAGATCGAATACAGTGGGAGGGATGTGGGCAGGGATAGCTTGAATGGGGAGAGTGAGGTAATGAGCAGTCATCAAGGTAAAATCTGCCAGGCTCCTCCAGCCCTCCAGACCTCATCACCTTACAAAGAAAACACCCTGCGATCTGTAGGACTGGCGCAGGAAGACCTCGCTAAAGACAAACTGCTGTGCAAAACCTGCAGAGGTCAGTCTGGTGAGGTGAAGCACTGGGGCAATACATCCTTCTCCTCAACTTCCAGCATAGAGGAGACTATCATCGGCCATACACTGGAGACCACTGACCAGCCATCTCACTGCAAAGATGAACAAACCACAGATGACTATCATCGTCACTCCCACAAAGACCACCTCTCCTTCCAGTCCCTGAGCTCCACTGAGGGTCTGGAGGACTCCTGCGAAACATGCCTCAGTGACATTGAACCAGGGCCTTCAAACATGCAGCAACATGAAAAAGACGCAGAGGTTCATTTACAACCAGGACACCTAAACAGAAAAAGAGATACACTTCGCCTCTCGCTGAAAGAAACCATTTATGAGTCTTGTAATAAGGGCCGCACGAGTCAGAGTGAAGAAGTAGTCATCTTACCCAACAGTAAGCCAGACTTACCAGATGTTTGGATAAAGAGAGATGGACAACGAGAGGACATGTGTTGAGCAATGCTGGAGAAATATTTGCAAACACTGTGGATTAACTGCTCTGAATTTATTTTAAAAAAGAAAAAAATCACTGTACTACAAAAGGAGCAAACATACTTTTGTAAAACTCAAATGAAATATAAGGCAACTGCAAATTTAATGTAACTGCATGTTTGCTAAAGTTGTAACAGTTTCTGTTACAAGTGTGGTCAGAGTATTATTGTTTCTTCAGTGAAAGGTCAAATCAAAGCATGACTTGTTCAATCCAGCATTTTCAGAAGGAGAACTAAAGATGAAGCTTTCTATTCAACCACAGCTGTGCACTCATATCACACTTGAAAAAACTAAAGCTAAGGTATTCTGCCAACACAAAAAACAGCATTACTTTGTGCCTGGAAGTTTTTATCATCTGCACCTGGACAATCTGCATAGACTGGGTTACCAACAAATACAGTACCACCTGTGTGCAACCACTAGCCTTTCTCTATGCTGGAACTGACCATATGAAGCCATATATATATCCATGGACATGACTGAAAAGTAACTACACTAAAAGATAAATCTGAAAAATACAGAGAAAAGACATATAGAGGAAAGTTTTAATGTGTGCCTATGTACAGTGTACATAAGATTTATAAACAAGAATCAATCATCATCACATCTAAACTAGCAAACAACTGTCACTTAGTTTTGCACTTTGTGAAAATATGTACAGGATGTCCTTTGTGACCATGACAAAGAAAATCAGAAATGTATCATTTGTGGTGCAATGGCTTGTTTGCATTTAGTGTCTTACTGTCAAATTAAAAGTCATTGTTTATTCCAGTGTCGGTGACAAAACTGTAGTGTTTATTTACTGTTATTGATTCTAATAGGGAAAAATGGTTTTTAACACAGATAAAAAAATATACACTCACCAGCCACTTTATTAGGTACCCCTGTACAATTGTATGCACTTCAATGTAACACTTCTGCCTTAAAAGAAACTGTCATAGATTAATAAATTCAATTATATGTTTATTATTTAGGTTATAGTTAAAGGTGGTGTTCTGCTTGTTGTGTTCTTAATATTCTGACCCTCTCGTGTATGTTGCTGGGGAGGACACAAATACAGACACACCTCTGAATATAATGTAGTCCAGCACAACACCACCTTTAACTATGACCTCAATAATAACAATTTCATCAAAAACTGAACCATTCTGAGCTTCATAAACACAGATGTTAAGGCAGATGTGTTGCACTGAATTGAATACAACTGTACAGGTGTACCTAATAAAGCGGCCAGTGAGTGTATATGTAGATTTATACACCGTTGGTGAACAAACAGACTATCCTGTTATCTAACAATGACTTTCTTTACACCCCTTTCCAAGGTTTGATGCCATATCACCTGATTCTGTGCGTCTCAGTACTGTTCAAATCACAGTATATATGACATGAGCAGCATGTGCCAAATGTCTTTCAGCAGGTTGTTTCATATACTGAAATAGCTAAAGATGTGTGTGCTTTGTGCAAAGGATGTGTCCTTTAAAAAATGAGGTCTTTATGGTCATAAATATGATGTTAAGTGTAAAACAGAGAAGCATTTGAGGTGCGGTGGTGGAGCAGAAACAGAAAGACCTTGACATGAATTTATTTTCAAGCTTTGTGTTTGCTTCTGACACCTTGACTGTGTAATCAAAATTCTCCATTGAGTCTGCACTTTAAAAATCACTCAGCAGAATAGCCTGCTTTTGAGATGAATGAAATCAATCACAGGCTATCAATGAAGAGAAGAAATTTAAAATGTCAGAACCACTATTATTTAAGGTAGCCAATGTTGTTGATTTTTCACAAAAAGAAAATAAAACACTTATTTTCCTGCAGACTGGCTTTATTTGAAATCTTGCTTGGAGTACTAGACAGATTACAGGCTTAAACGGAAGAAATTGAATTAAAACTATATTGAAATTAAAACAGTAAAATGAGAACCAGTACAATTTTAAGGCATAAACAGTTCGGAGCCAAAAAAAAACATGTGCTCAGTTGTGGTGGAAATAAATTTTATACTGCCTTCAGAAATTGCACAGAACCACCAACCATCAACAGAAATGCAATCAGAAAGCCTCAAAGCACATCCTCTTGAAGTCTGAAAACCCTGCATGACAGCAGTAACGCAAAGACCAAAGTCCTCACCAGTGTTTATCCGATCTGGTCTAATCAGCTTCGACCCAGTCTTCTTTGGCCCAGTCAGGTAAACGTGTGGAATATTCAAAGTCAGGTCCTTTGTAGCGTAAAGCATGGAGATACATGATGAGATCCTTTTCTTTTGGATCTGATCGTACTATCTTGCATTCACTACACAGGTGGTCCAGAGCGCCTGGAGGAGGTTTCTGAGTAGACTCAGTTGCCTCCACTTGATTTCCATTTGACTTGTGAGGTTGAGGGCTCTGAGATTCACTGAGTGAGGTGCTGTTGCTTTGTAGGTTCACCACATTTACTGTTTCACTGCTTGAGCTACAACCTGTCATGGCCTGTGGATCTAGCCTTTTGTCGTCACCACCACATGCACCACTCAGGCCACTCTTGTTAGGTTTAGATGTGCTATCTGGCTTGTCTGTTTTCTCAGACGTCTTGTTTTTATCTGCACTTTGTACAGTTCCAATGCCATCATCTGGTATATCCAACAGGTGCAGACCTTCTTGAGCAGAATGTTCCTCTGCCAGAGCCTGCAGCAGCTCTTCATTACTCTTCTCCACCAGTCCCCCCTTTCCCCTATGTAGGCCCCAGGCTGAGGATCCATAGATAGGATCATTGACAATGGGGAAGCCCAAGTACTGGAGGTGGACCCTGATCTGGTGTGTGCGGCCGGTAAGTGGTAAACAGCGTACCACGCTGGTTTTTCCATTAAAGTTAAGCCTCTGGAAGACAGTGCGGCACTCCTTACCTCTGGGGTCAACCCGACAGAGACCGATTTTAAAGGAAACAACCAGGATGGGCTCCTCACAGATCAGCTCACCCTCTGGAAACTCACCCTCCACCCTGCAGACGTACTCCTTTTCAAGCTGGAAAAAAGAGAGTGAATAAAAAGAATTTTTTTCTGAAAACCTATCTGTTATACTCAGAAGTCAGAAAGTTGAAGTCTGCCTAAGCATAGGAAAATCAGAACCCAAGTCCAAACCCTCCTGAACGTACCTGTCTGTCTCTCACCAACTGGTCCAGTTTCTTTGATGTCTCCAGTGTCCTGGCAAACAGCAGCACTCCAGATGTGAGTCTGTCCAGTCTGTGGACTGTATGAAGCTCACAGATACCCTGCTCTTTCCCCAGGATGAAAATCACCGTGTTGTGGCGGAAACGGCCACATGGATGGACCGGAATGGAGGCAGGCTTGTCTACAACAAGCACTTCACCATCATCCACTAGAATCTCCAGGGGTCTGCCAACTACAGGTGGCTCATGGCGGTGCACTGTGTTCCTCAAATGGTCATTATGCTGTGGATAGTTAAGAAAGATTAAAGCCTTCTATCAAACTGCTACATAATATGTCATCACCTCCCAGAACCGAAGACTGGCTGGCCGCAGGCGGATGTTTCACTTAGAATGGTTACCTCCTATTGTAAGCCAGAAATCAAACAGAATGAATGGTTGGCTTCCTATTTAATAGATGATTTGTTAGTCAAATAATCCCAATAACGAGAAAAATACGTGCATCTGTCAATACAAGATAACTTCAAGACAATTTTCCAGTAGGAATATTTAACGAAGAAAGAAAACCCTTGCAATACCCATAGACAGTATTATCATAGTATAACTGGCTATGCTGCTGAGTGTTACTGACAATATTAAACACGTAAGTGAACTGATGATACAACAGGAAATATGAACTGATGACACCCACCTTCAGTACCACAGACAGGTCCTCCAGAGGTGCCCCATTGAGCCGGATGCGACCCTCTTTGGCCGCCCTGTGGTAATACTCTACTGACTCAGCTCTGAACTCAGTCTTGAACACCTCCAGCAGGGTTTTCCCAACCCACCGCCCTTTGCAGTAGCATTTGAAGTCAAACAAGTATGGATGAACTTTGCGGAGGCCTCCCTCGAAATAGTAAGAGGTTTCGTTGAAATGCTCCTGGCTGAAGCTGACACCGGGGTTCCGTTTCTGCGGAGGAGGGACGTATCTCTCGCACGGACGGACCTTCTTCCCTCCCGCTCCCCTACGCCTTTTCCTTCGGTCACTTGCCTGAAGTTCCTCGGGCTCGTCGCTTTTGCGTTTGCCGGGTTCTGTAGCCTCTTTAGATGTGGTTTCCTGCGCTAAAACCGGTGTGTTTACATCCACCGGTCTAACAGTAGCAACAGCTTCCTGCTCCATTGTCGAGCTGTCCTGTTGACACCGTGCGGAACGAAAACTACGACTCAGAGGTTGATTAACGCCACAAGGCGAAATAAGGTAATGCTGCTTTTTATAAGCTACACGCCTATTAACTTCAGAGTGAGCCAAAAAAGAAGACAAGCCACATTTTCTCAAACCTCTAAGCAAAACACTCATGTGCATTTCTCTAGGTCCTTCGCTCTAAAGGCGCATAGTGATGACGCTATTATGTAGTCCAGACAGTCTAATGTGTAGTCCAGTATTATCGCCACCAACTGTTCACAGGGTGCACTTAGATTTTATAATAAATCCATTGAATGCCAGCAGTTTGTGGCAGGTATTAAAAGATACGACTGTCCAAATATTGTTTCCAGGATAATAAACTAATATGAGGCTTACGTTATTTTCCCATTTTGTTCCAGAATTGATCTTTTGTAAAAGAAATGAGGGCTTGGTTTTGAACTGTAGAAATTTCTGGTAGAAAAAATTATAAATGTTGTTCAAATATGATTACATTCAAAAAAGTTACAGAAATTCGATATAATATGAATGTAATGAAAATTTCTTTAGTCTTCTGTGATTTTTGTGTATTTGTTTCTTTCTTCAATGTGTATACAAGTTGCTTAAAGTACTGGCGGAACAATTATGTTATCCATTTACTCAATGTAAGATTTTTATTCTCCCTGCTCTTTTTAATCATAAATATATTGTAGTGTGCTAGGCGGCACCAGCACAGCTCCCTCGGGCCCTATTGACAAAACTGTGTGAGTTCCCAAGTTATTGTTGTGTTCATGCTCTCTTATCGGGGACAGGACAGGGCCAGCTGGGTCAAGACAACGTGACTGAGGGTTCTGGTTGGACTAATGGGCTTCGGCCACCTGTAAATAGTTATCTGCGTTCCTGTGGGTCATGCAGTGTATGGGACACACAGTCATGCACGAAAAGGCAAATTTTGTCTCAGGCTTTCTTTTTCACTCAGCCTGAATTACAGTATTTTTCACAACAGTATAACAGTTTTTTGTGTAAAATGTGTTCGTACACTGATGTGTACTGACATTGCTAGGTGACAATCCAGCAGGGCAGGTGGCCATTAAGAGTGGAGCTCACAATGGGGCCCCAGAGATGCAGCACCATCGCCACCTCCTGCAGGGGCAGCCACACTGCAGTCAGAGCTCACTACTGGGAGGAAGGAAGGACAGTGAGGACGCCGTCAGGAACAAGCTAGTGGATGTAGGTGGATGTGACTCATGACTGCATAAAACACACTGAAGATTACAGAGGAACCTACTGTAGGTAATGCTCAAAATGTTCAATGTGCAGTTTTTGTTCCAAAGTAGTTTACCTTCCTTAATTTGGGTTTAAGAAGTTAAGAAGAACTAAAGAATTATCCATTGTGTTTTGTTATGTCCGATTCAAGATTTTTATTTGCCATTTATCGCCATGTGCTCTTTAAGTAACCCAACATTTTTTTTCTAAACAATTTACCTTTTACCTTCCCTGATTTTGATTAAATAAATATCCATTGGAGGTGTCTTCTTACCCAGGCCACTGATGTCTCTTGTCAGTGAGGGGAACGTAAATCACTCGGCTGCTGACGTTTCTTGTCAGTGAGGGGAACGGCAACCACTCGCTTCAGAGTTTTACTGAGGAAGCCATCAAAGCTTTTTTGAGGAAGGTCCCATCACTCTGCCGCTCGTACTGTTCTAACGTCTGACTGCCCCCGTCTGGGCCCACTGGCAGAACCAATCTCCCGCCTGCCTTCAGCTGCTCCAAGAGCTTCCATTACAAGTGGAACAGAAAACAAAACATAAAAATAATTGTATTAGTTATCCAGTTCAAGACATAAAAACAGAAAACAAAACATAAAAGTAACATGTATTAGTTATCCAGTTCAAGACATAAATTTGGCTCAGTCTGTCAGAGTGGAGTGAATTTTTAGTCTGTATGTCAAAGGTTCTTCACAGCTTACTGCTTTTAGAGAACAGAGACTGTTTAAGATTCACTGTACTGCTGTAGATGAACAGCGACCTCTTAACCGTACCTTGCTGAGCCTTGTTTGTGTATTTTGGTTATTTTAACTAACTTGCTGAGCCTTGTTTGTGTATTTTGGATGCAGCTGAATAAATGTACAATTTCTATTATTCTACTCTACTCTCTTCTATTTTATTGTCACAAGAGCAAAAGCCATACGTGTCCTTACAGCCCTAGGAACAGTAGCTGCAGCTGCACCAACATGAATAGCATCATAGGGTGCTCCGTCGGGGAAGCCGAGTCTTCCGTCTCCCACTGTGGACAGACGTATGGACTTTTATAGTCTTTTATAGGTGTGCCATTTCAAAACCAGCACTGGAACGAGGCTCCTGACTCACCTACAAATCTGATGCGTCCAGAGGAGAGCAGTTCTGGGTCGTCAGCTTGCACGTTTTTTATTGACATTTGAACCAGTTCGTCGATGTGTTCAATGCCGACCACTCTCCCGCTAGGTCCTGTCTATACAGAACAGGAAAAATGCAGCTGTATGAAGAAATATTAAGTCAATAATAAGTGTATTAAAAGAAACATGCCAGTTTATAGAGGACATACCATTTTTGCAAAGCAGGCAGTGAGATACCCGCTTCCTGAGCCCACATCCAGTGCTGATGCCCCTTCTGTTAGTTTGTCACTTAACAGCTCTAAAGCATGAGCATGCTGTCAAAGCAGGCCCAAAGGAAAACATCCAGTGAATTGTGTACCTACATAAACAGATTATTCAAATTGTCTGAGAGTTTGTTGCTCACCATGTGTGGTGCACTGATCACGACCTTGTAGCCTGTGAAAAACCAAACATCATAACAGAGAGTCATAGTTCACATTTGTGCTCATGAAACAGCTATTACTGTACATTACAACACAATGTATTAACTCAAATATCTGTCATAAACTGATAGGCATGTGTTTTATAAAGAGTGACAGGAATAAATACCTATGGACTGAGGAGAGTCTGCATAAGGATAATCTCTGGAGTAGAGCCCTCTGTCTGTAGCCATCATGACATCAAATACTTTTTCACTGTGGATCACCCCACGATCTGGAGGAGAAACACAGAAGAGACAATTCAACAAAACTGAAGTGGCAAATTTGGAAAATGTGAAATGCATTATGTCATGTTAAAGTCTGTTAGTATTTGTGTTTCCTTTGCATTGACCTGAGCCCAAACATAGCTGTAATCCCCACCGTTCACATCTACATCTACACTTATTTACAATGCAGTGATTTAGAGTTCACATAAAACTATGGAATCATATTTTTCTGTATATAAAGAAAACAAGCTCTATGAGCTTTTAGATGGGGAAAAAGAATAAAACATTAGGTTAAACATTCAAAGATGGGTGATATATCAATAGACTAGCTAATAATCAGAAGTGGTGTTTTGTGAGATTTTGGTTATTATAACATATTGACATATTTTAGCTTTACATATTGTCTCTTCCTGGTCTTCTAGGTGGCATTACATTTCAGAAACATATTTTTCTTAATGGTGACTGGCTTTACATACAACTTTTAAAAAATGTATTAAAGAGAAGGGAGGAAAATGGAACAATAAACCATTTTTTTCCTTTTCACATGATACATTTCCATTTTAATAGCAGCATTTTCATTTAAGTGTTTCTACACCAATCAGCCATAACATTATGACCATTGACAGGTGAAATTATTAACTGATTATCTCAGTGGCACCTATCACTGTGTGGGGTACATTAGGCAGCAAGTGAACATTCAGTCCTTGAGGTTCATGTGTTGGAAGCAGGAAATAAGCAAGCGTAAGGATCTGAGTGACTGACAAGGCCAGACCGTGATGTCTAGATGACTGGGTCAGAGTGTCTCCCAAACTGCAGGTCTCATTGGGTGTTCCTGGTCTGCAGTGGTTAGTAGCTACCAAAACTGTCTATGGAAGGACAAACAGTGAACTGGTGACCGGGTCATTCATGCCCAAGGCTCACTGGTGATGAGACTGATCTGTGGCTGTTGAATTAGTCTAAAAATGATCTCTAACTTGTCCTCAGAAACACATTTTTTACTCCTTTTACATTTTCTTTCTTCTTCTACTCTCGGCTGTCCCCGTTAGAGGTCACCACAGTGAATCATCTGTTTCCACCTAACTCCATTCTTGGCATCCTCTAGTCTCACCCCAGTTAACTTCATGTCTTCTTTTAGCACACCCATATATCTCCTCTTTGGCCTT